CTCTCCGTTGAAGATATTGCTATGCTGCAACAGCTTCGAACTCCACTAAATACCCAACTTTTGCATCCAGGTTGGGGTTGGTAATTTTTAAGAGCTCTGACTTTCTAATCAGGTTTAAAGGTGCATTTTTAGCCGTTCAAATGGGATTCCAATCCCAATTGATGAACGGAATCCTCCCAGCTGGGTTGAATGCGGTGATGAATAACAGGAAACGGGAACACGATGATGATGTGAAACCCGAATTGTTTGGCAAAGTTCAACGAGGTAAGAGCTTGGAACCAGTTCTGTGTTTAACGGCGTTACTCAGAATACTCCAGAAAGTCTGCTTCTCAGTGCTATTTCCTCGTTTACTTTTACGCTCTCTCTCTCTCGCTCGTTCTCTTCCTCTCGTGCATGACTCTCGTTCAACACCGAAAGGCTAAAGTGCGCATTGCGTGTATGTTGCGCAAGAGGCGGCGGAGTCGGCGCGATGTTGGGGTGTCGGCGGGTGAAACCCGGTTTTCTGCGCAGAAGAACCGGTTTCCGATGAACTCGCACTGTGTCTCCACGTATCGCACGCTATTCACGTCTTCGCTCATCGCTGCGTCGCTTCGATTGATGTGGTCTTTCTGTTCAACGACGACGACCTCTTCGCCTCGTGCCAACGGGTACCGACACCGAGAATATCCGCCGCGCGACCCCAACACAAGTGTAGCTGGCCAACTTACGTAGTAAAGGGGTGCAAGGGATATATTTTGAGGGAAAATTGGTTGAGAATATAAGTTCTTAGATAAATTAAGCAAAACTTCTCCTCTACCGTTCAAATCATTAACAGTGAGACCATTTGAATTTCTAATAAGCACTCCACAATAAAGTCCTTTAAATATGCGGCATTACAGTTCATTATTCAAATGCACAGCTTTCCTCGGCGATAATTAGAATTTTTACGTTGAAGAGTCCATTTTTAAGGACGTTCCTCCGCGGCTGCGCAGCTTAATCCGCTCTTTGCATGAATTAGCATAGCTCTGAATAGGAAATGAACGCCGAACGGGACAAGCAGCTACAGAAGGCGAGAGGAGGCAACGCATTGGGATAATTTGTATTCATCTAATATATCACTGACGCGCTTCAGACTACGAAAACGGTGGCAGCCTTGGGACTTTCGGGCTATAGAACAACAGTTTGTAGTTTCACTTGGATGTACATTCGCACGGCTACAAAACTAGCCGTAGGGGAATTTGAGGAGTTGCTTGGGTAATGACAAATGAAAAGAAATCCAGAATACAATTGCATTATGAGTATTCGACTATAAATTGGACTTATAGTCCAGAAGTTATGTGCATACGAAAATCTTTTGAAGCTAACCTTTGGGAGACCAAGCAAAAACGTCCAATGTAATCCTAGCTATATTTCAAAGCAAATTTTTCTTCTTGCCTACTCGAAGGCAAA